CGACGCCGACAGACCCACCCCGGTTTTGGTCGGCGTCCATATAAGCGAAGCCACAACGAGCAGAAATCAGTTCCAGTTCCAATTTCAGTTTGAGCTGGAGTTGCAGCGAAGAGTCAGTCTCCAGTTGAAGCCGCCTCGCAGATAGCTGACCAAGATTCACGCAAATTCCGGACTCCTCTTCAACCCAAGAACAATTATTTTGAAGAGCGACTTAGAACCAGACCACCGAAATAAGTTTTTTTTTTCGACTTTCGTCCAAAGACACACCGAAACGCCAATTTCTTAGAGAGCAAACAACTTGAAGCGTTAAAAACTTGCCTCACATAAAACGACGTGTCACAATCCACAGAACGGGTCGGGAGATAGATGCAATCCTATGTATCGAACAACTAGACATAAAGTTTGTTACCTTTTTCTTTGATACTTTGAACTTTTTGAGTTTTCATTTTATTTTCTTTTATGCATATTTGTGTAGTATCACCCCCGTTGAACTCAGTTTGCATTACGGCCCCAACCACTGTCTGTCTAAGATCAATTCACAACGTGGGTAGGCAGACTAGAGATCAATGCAGTTACCTTGGTAACCAGGCGTTGGAAGCGAGTTGGGAACGACGAGGCTGATATCAAATCTAACCAGATTCCCACCCGAATCACCAAAAGGTTAGAACGTCACATTTGGGTGCCGCGACCGATACCAAGCCAGTTGGTCGTCACAGGACGAGACAACACGACTGACGCGACAGGCGGACGTCACGTTTGGAGCAGCGACACCCGAACGGAGCAGCGAGGAGCGAACAGCTGGTGCCGCGGCGAGGACGTCACAATTGGTGCTGTTTGGGGACGTCACAACTGGCGCCGTGGTAGATCAGGATAGAACGTCACAGTCGGCGCTGCGACCGGGGGACGACGTCACACTGCAACTATGCTGATCCGACCCTAATTACAGTTTCTGGGATATAGAGAATTATCTGACGTTGATCAACAGCCTTAATAAGGCCAGCACGCTCAACCCCTCGGTCACGCTGACTTGTGACTTCTTGCTAGAAGAGATAAGGAAACCAGAAAAATTTAATAAGGGCTATAAAACACAGGAAATTGTGAAGAGCCATGATCACCCACACCAAAAAGAAGGTCATGAAGTTCTCTTAGGATCGTATCTCTGTACGGGCTGAATTTTCTTATGGCTGGCCCCTTGTATCCGAGAATTCCTGTCAACACGGGCGACTAGTTTTAGCTGCCTGCTCAGGCTTCAACACTCGCAGAGCTCACGTGTGGTTTATACTGCAACTATGCTGAGCGAAACTTATTGCCAGTTTCTGGGAGAGAGCGCATTATCTGAACAAGGTCAAAGCGCTCAAGCCCTCAGTCACGCTGACTTGTGATTTTGTGCTAGCACAAAAATCGTCGGCTTTTAAATTTTACTTATACGGATTAGGGTAAATTTCTTCACAAAATGATCGTGGTGAGATTCGAACCAGGGTCGCCTGTTCGGAAAGTGAACTTTCTAGCCATTCGGTCACGCGCTCATATAATAAATAACGGGAACAGATCCTTGTCGTACACGTCTTTCTATTTTGTGTTGACTAAAAACTATATAATAAAGGCTTCTTCTTCTTCTATAAGCATTCATGGCTCTCCACAATTTCCTCGTCATTTTTTGCTTTTAATATATTTTTTGTTGCCTCTTCTAAACCTTGTTTCGCCATCCATTTAATCAACCTCGCTACGTAGTTTATGCGTTGTATTCCTCTGTTACCTTCAATCTACGTTGTGAGTGTTAAATTTTCCAAGCCTTCTTTCGTCCGAGAAATTTCAAATATCTTTTCCTGATGTTGAATATAAATCCTTTTTACGTTTCCATTTTCTCTAAAACATCGTTGTTACTCAAATGTTCGGCCCATGATATTCTCAGCATCCTTCTGTAGAACCACATCTCTGTTGCTACTTTTTTTTGCGAGGAGATCGTCCTGCTCTCACTGTTATATAAGACAACTGATATTACATAACAGTTCAATGATCTTAAGGTCTCTTTCATGATTGTCTTTCATCTTTCTCTAGCATTAGGAACAACTACATTTTTTTTTACTATACAAATATTATGAAATGCATTGTCCGACAATTATTCAATATATTTTCTGTTTATAGGTTTTTTTAATACATACGATTTATTTAAGTAAATTCCCTATTTTTTTTTTTTTTAATTAAACAGTATTACAGTATTTACATTAATCGGACTATTGTCCTCATCTTTGTTGCCATATTTGTCACAACGTTTCGGCCGTTGTACGCTCCGGCCTTATTCAAGTGGTTGGAACTTCGAACTGAACCCTTTATTTTTAAAGATGAGGACAATAGTCCGACTAATGTAAATACTGTATATAATACCTCATCTCAGAAATATAGACAGACTCTAAACAGTATTAATTACAAATTACCGGCCTGAACGTTCGAGAAATTTCGTAGAACATATACATTTTCCAACAGGAAACGGAACCTCTAACCCTAATGAGGACCGTCATATAGCCTGACATACTCTTACCATTTAGACACAGGGAAGAATCTGTTGAGCAAAGTTCTAATTACTGTTTATAAACAAACACCTTCGAGGATTTTTCTCGATCAATCATTTCTGCTTAAGAATCATATCTTAACGTAAACAATGGCAACATATGAAACGAAGTCCAACAATTATTTAATATATTTTTTATTTTTAGGTTTTTTTAATAGATACGATTTATTTAAGTAAATACCCTATTTTTAAAAAAATAAACAATATTGATTACATTTACCGGCCTGAGTGTTCGAGAAATTTCGTAGAAAATATATGCTTCTCTGACAGGAATCGAACCTGTAACCCCCAAAGTCTGTCTGTGCTGTTAACAATCCAGCCTCAAAGAAGCCTCTGGTTACTATACAGATATCATTTTACTATTTTTGAAAAAAATTTTGGTTCGTGGTATTCCGGAGTAGAACCAGATTTCTGTTGCTCCAAGTCACTTCTTAATAAAAAAAAAAAATGAGGCAACCATACAATTTATATGATAACGTCATTTTTTTTCTGGCTACTTTATTTCACTGTGCCCATATATATGAAGTTACAAAAAACTACTCGACACCCACAGGCGTAAACACCAGTACATTGAGGCATTTTCAATAATTCTCTACTGCAAATATTTATTAATTAGTGTAAGAGATCGATAGCCTACAGGGTGTGTCTCTGCTCTTGGTGCCTTGTGAAAAAAAAGGGTATTCTATTTTCGAATCAACGCAGGACCTATATTCGTTTTCTGCGAGAAATGAGGCTTTCGAGAAATCGTTTTATCGCCTCTATGATGTGATTTCAATTAGGATCGTCTGTAAATCTTTCGAGGTGGATTGAAACCTCTGGTATTTGCAACAACGGTTTGACCTCGTTCATTTTCTCTTTTTTTTTTAAGATGGTGTTTTTTTTTTTAAATTCTGCCCTTTATTTTGTTTTTCACTATTGCTCTGTTTATTTTATTGTATGTTTTTTTTTTAGGTTGCACGTGTACTTTGCACTTTTAGGTTTTATGTGTGTTTGCATTTTTAAGTTGAACTTTTTCTGCTCATATTCATTTTTTAAAATTTTCTTTCTTTTTTTCATGAACGAGTTCTGGATTTTATTTACGTTTCTTTCTTCTTAACTTTCTGTTTTACTTTTTTTCTTTCTATGTTTCTCTTTCTCGGTCTTCTTTTTTTCTATATTTTTTTTTTTGGTTCGTGATTTCCTTTTCTTTTTCTTTTTCCATGTTCCTAAATTTTTTTTTCTTCAGTTTCTTCAGTAAAGATTCTTTTTTTTTCTTCTTTGTTACTTCTGCCGTTCTTTCTTTTTTCTTTCTTTCTTTTTCTTTTCTTTTTTTATGTATTTTTTTCTGGATTGTCTTTCTCTTTCGTTATTGTCCGTTCATTTTTCCTATATTATCCTTCTTTCTTTTTAATTGAGATATGCCCTTTTGTCTATTTCCCTTCTTTTTTCTCTACTTTATTCTTTCTTCATATACTTGATTTCTTTTTCGGCAAAAACTTTTTGCAATACCCCTTCAAATGTTTGCTAACGAATTCCTTTTCTATGTTAATCATCCACTTCTTTCTTTTTCCTTTCTTTTTTTTCTTTCTTTCTTCCTTTTTTCTTAGTTTTTCTTTATGATTTCTTTCTTTTTTACTTTACTTTCCTTTCTTCGCTTTTCTTTTTCCTTTCTTTCTTTCTTTCTTTTTCTTTCTTTCTTTCTTTTTCTTTCTTTTTCCTTTCTGATTTTTCTTTCTTTTTTCCTCCTTTTTCCTTTTTCTTTCTTTCTTTCTTGTATATTTATTCATTCTTTCGTTTTTCTTTCCTTCTTTCTTGTTCTTATCCTTTCTTTTTCCTTTCTTTCTTTTTTCTTTCTTTCTTTCTTTTTCTTTGGTTCTTTCTTTTTTCCTTATCTTTTCTTTTTTCCTTTCTTTCTTTTACTTTTCTTTTTGCTTCTTTCTTCCTTTTTTTTTCTTTTTCTTTATCTTTCTTTTTCCTTTTCTTCTTTTTTGTTCTTTCTTTCTTTTTCTTTCTTACTTTCTTTTTCTTTCTTTCTTTTTTCTTTCTTTCTTACGTTTGTATCTTTTTTTGCTTTCTTTCTTTCACTTTTCTATTTCTTTTATTGTAGATCTTAGTTCCTGTTTCTCTTTTCTAATACGCTTACACAATCTCGTGTATTTCTTTCTTTTCTGGATCTCTCCTTTCCCAAATTTTTTGCTCATTTTTTACTGTCTTTCGCTTTCATTAAATCACTCTCTTCCGTCTACGTCCTTTCTTCTTCTTCTTCTTCTTCTTTCCTTTATTACTTCTAATTTTTGCCCCTTTTTTATTTATCTATTTATTAATTTATTTATTTATATCTTTTTCTTCAAATTCTCATTCTCATGTTCCTTCCTTCTTTCTTTTTATTAAGCATATTTTTTTTCTATTGCTTTATCTCTTGGTTCCTTTCATCTGCCTCTGCCAGTCAACAATGACCATGGATTTGATCGCACCCATCTGTAAGGTAGGATCAGGCCTGGGCAGGATAGTATAGAGTACAAGATGCCGCTGATACGGCATGTCCCTCCTCTCTACGTCGCTGATGGATCCAAGGCAATTACAGTTTGGCGGAACGAGGCTGAAATCAGCAACGAACTGCTTTAAGGGCTCCACCTCTTTTTTTTAGTTGTATAGTATGTGCTATGCCAGGGCTAAATAAAGTTTTGAATTGAGAGTTAGTTTCTCCTATACCGGTTGCTACTCAAGGCTATAGAACCCAGTCTTTCTTGCTATTTACCCATAGTTGGCAGGGGAGAAGAAGAGGATTTATACCTTTCCCAAAGGCTATTAGCACGTAAATGAATGTAACGTACCCGACTGGAATTCGAACTCAGGTTCTCCGATTTTCTTTCTTTCTTTCTTTCTTTTTCCTTCCTTCTTTCTGTCTGTCTGTCTGTCTGTCTTTTTCCTTCTTTCTTTCCTTCTTTCTTTCTTTCTTTCTTTCTTTCTTTCTTCCTTTCTGTCTGTCTGTATGTCTGTCTTTTTCTTTCTTTCTTTCTTTCTTTCTTTCTTTCATTCTTTCTCTCTATCTGCATGCCTTTTTCCTTCGTTCTTTCTTTCTGTCTGTCTGTCTGTATGTCTGTATGTCTGTCTTTGTCTTTCTTTCTTTCTTTCTTTCTGTCTGTCTTTTTCCTTCATTCTTTCTGTCTGCCTTTTTCCTTCTTTCTTTCTTTCTTTCATTCTTTCTCTCTATCTGTCTGTCTTTTTCCTTCTTTCTTTCTTTCTTTCTTTCTTTCTTTCTGTCTGTCTGTCTGTCTTTTTCCTTCTTTCTTTCTTTTTCTTTTTCTTTTTCTGTTTTGCTTTCTCTATGTCCCTTCTCGCTTTTTTCTCAAAATCATTTGTATTTTCTCAACTTTTTCACAGATTTTATCTCCGATATTCTTCTCTTTCCCCCTTTTTTCTCCGTCCTTTCTTTCTCTTGCTTTCATTTCGATTTCTACTTCGCTCCATCTAATCATCTGAGAGAACTCAATTTGCCTTCCATCCGCATGGTTGATGCTAACCACCAGCTGAGTGATTCGTTGCGCTTTCTCGGGTTACCATTTCTCGGCTGGCATGAAGTGGAAAGACTATATTGAATCCATTCCTATGTTTGCTGATAACAAATTTGGTTCGCTTCGTGGTGCAGGGCAGTTTTTCTCTCCGGAATTTATCTTACATATCTATGTCTACCATTCGGTCATGCTTAGAATATTGCTGCCATATATAGTCCGGTGCTCTTGCTATGTATTTGGATATTCTTGATAAACTCCAAAGAAGGATCAGCAATATTACTGGTCCTAACCTGGCGTCTCTGCTCCAGTCACTTCCCAACCGCCGTATAGTTGCTTCCTTGTGCCTTTTCTATAAATACTTCCACGGTAATTGATCAGATGAAATCATCGCTATGGTACCTATTTTGTTTTTTTTTAATTTTACTGCAGTATTGAATTGGCAACAAGGTCTCATCAATTGATAGCTGAATTCGTTAGATGTAATATACGGTTACATCTAGCGAATTAGCAGTTAGTATGAATATACTAACATCGGTTAGCATGAATATAATAACGGTTTCATTTTTACATTTCCCGCTTGTGGAACCCTCTTCCGGCTCCATAAATTTTACAAACTTTGATCTTCAAAAATTTAAATGCAATGTCAATTGTTATCTACTGCCTGATTACACTATATTATAGTTCTTGTTCATTCAAAATGTTTCTTTTTTTTCTATTTTTTCACGCTAAGTAAAACTCTGTGTTCTTAGTGGTTTTACTGCCTTGCTTGGGGTGAATTCGATTTTTAAAAAAAGTTCCTACATTGTTTCTTAATCGCTCTAAATTTTCTCAATCGTATATTTCATTACTCTTTTTTTCTTTCTTTTCACCACCGATTTGCCATGTTGTTTCCTACTCTCTCTCTCTCTATGTTTCCAACTCTCTCTCTCTCTCTATGTTTCCAACTCTCTCTCTCTCTCTCTCTATGTTTCCAACTCTCTCTCTCTCTCTCTCCCTCCCTCACTGACCCCGTTTTCACAGTTGTGTTTTTTTTCAAATCTTTTGTTCGTTTTTCGTTTCCTTTATTCACTCACAAATTTTCCGCTACTCTTACCATTTTCACTTCTTTCTTTCTTTCTTTCTTTCTTTCTTTCTTTCTGTCCCTTCTTTTTTCTTTCTTTATTTAAATTTTCTTCATTTCCTTCCGTTGATTTATTTTTTTCTTTTTCGTTCACACGAACGATTTTAAATTTACTTTCTTCTCTTTCATTTTTTCCCCTATGTCTTTTTCTCTGTCTGCTTTTTCTTTCATTTTTGAATTAATTATTCATTTCTTTTTATATATTAATTTTTATATATATATATATATATATATATATATATATATATATATATATATATATATATATATATATATATATATATATATATATATATATATATATATATATATATATATATATATATATATATATATATATATATATATATATATATATGTATATATATATATATATATATATATATATTACTTCTTTCTTTCCTCCTTCCTTCCTTCCTTCCTTCATTTTTGCTTTCTGATTTCTCTTCTTTTTTTTTTTCTTTATTGCTTTTAATGTTCTTGATTTCCTTCGACTGCATTATATTTACTTTTTCGTTCCAGCTACCGATTTGGAATTTCTTTTTATTTTTTGCTTTTTCTTTGTTATTTCTCTATCCTTTTCTATATGTTTGCGTCTTACTCTCAGTTTCGAATAAATTACCCCCCTTTTTTTTGCTCTTCTATTACTATTTTTCTTTCTTTCTTTCTTTCTTTCTTTCTTCTTGTTTTTTTTAGATTCTTTCTTTCCATTTCTATTTCGTTCTTTCTCTTCTTTCTTTATGTATTTCTCTTTAAACCTTCTTCGTGTTCATTCTCTCATTTTCTTTCTTTCTTTCTTTCTTGTTTTAATGTTCGAGTAATTTTCGTTCTTTCATCTCCCAACTAAGCCAAATAATGAAACATTATTTCCATTTTAGCTTCTTCTTTCCTTCTTGATTTCGTTTCTTTTAAAGCTTTGCGTTCAACTAAAATGTGTCCGCGGTTTTAATCTCTTGTTCACGCAAAACACATACGGTATTTCCATTAGTGAATCTAATCCTTCAATTTTATCTCTGCGGACTTGTTTGCTGTTAGATTAATAACACTTATCAGATTTACCTATTGGTGGACTTGTTTGCTTCCTTTTTTGTGATTTTAATCAGGATATTTGAATTAGAGCAGCCGCTAACATCTCATAAAGTCTAATCGACAAACCAAATTCAGGTTCTGCTCATGAGTTCTATTGTTAATATCTTGTGTATGTCTTTTAAAAAGCCTGAATCGATTTCTTTCTGTTGTATCCATTATCGATCCGCTTCTGTTAATGCTTCTGATACGGCTCTGAAAAATGTTTTCAAAAAGGAAAAACCTATTTGTCACACCGGCTGTTTTTCTCTTTATATATATATATATATATATATATATATATATATATATATCAATGTAAAATAGCGGCAATTTACCCATCGCACCCATATATATATATATATATATATATATATATATATATATCATAAAAATATAAAATGACGGCAATTTACTCATCGCACCATATATATATATATATATATATATATATATATATATATATATATATATATATATTATTAAAATGTAAAATGGCGGCAATTTACCCATCCCACCCTATATATATATATATATATATATAAACCCATCATACCCTATATATATATATATATATATATATATATATATAGAGAGAGAGAGAGAGAGAGAGAGAGAGATATAGCGACAGAGAGGGTGCAATAGGTAAATTGCCACCATTTTATATTTTTAATTTAGCGCATGCGCGTTATTTGTTTCTGTTTTTTTTTCGACAGCACAGTATAGTAGCATCATTTCGGTACCCTCTGTGAGAAAAAAGGACAACATCACGTAATTTATTCCACCAGAAATTTAGAAACGGCACGCTGCACTGCTTGCCATTCTCGCCGGAAGCTCCAATACGAACATTTCAGAGTGTTTGGGTATCAATCTGGGGACAGTACAGATGATTCCGAAAGAGTTCGATGAGTCTAATGTTGATTACGAATGTACGGCAGAACAAGAATAAAGAGGCATGTTTGAGGAAAGTATAAAGAGAAAGACGGGGAACAAGATCAAGGTATCAGATGTCGATTGAGATTACACTTGAATATTTGAAGATTATAGTTATCGGCGAAGTAAGCGAGGGGGAAGGTAGTTTCGCAGACGGAATGTGCCAGAGAAGAAGCACTTTGGGTAGAAGAGACGGTTACATTTAACCGTTTCGACAGTGAAAGAGTGGGACCGAGATGCCAGCCTAGTACCTCGCTTAATTTCATGCAATCTGGGAACCAGCTCGTCGGAACAGCTGCTGTGAAAATACTTAGAGAAAAAACAGAGGGAAGCCACGGCTCGTCAGTGAGAAAGCAACTGTAGACTAGATGCCAGATCAGGATCTATCATATTGCATATTCGTCTCTGAATTTTGTCGAGGACCTCAAGACATACAGCGGGGGTACCAGACTATATTTGACAGCAATATTCCATGCAAAAACGGATGGTTGATTATAGATTTGAAGGATGGACCCAAATGAGAAAGTTTAATAAAAGTGTATAAAATAAAAGTTTATATTCCTAAAATATAATTTATATAAGAGAATTAAGGAAACACTAGCACAGTTTGAATTATTGTTCATTCACGGAAGTACCGTGTCGGCCATATTCTTTATACGTGCATCAAAAGCAGGAGCATCGCTTCTGCATATGAAAGTCACCAAACTTAACTGCGTTGTTGTTGCTGTTATTGCAGACTCCCTTACCAAGTTGTGACAATAAGGTTAAAGAAAAGTTATTTATAGACATAAATAAATAAAAAAAAGATTCTTGATTATTTCACTGCTGGTCATTCTTTGTTTTTTGTTTTTTTTAATTTTCTCGCGCGCTTTGCGAACGTTGTTAGAATTACAATGCATCCATTTGTTCTTAGACCTTACAGGTTACTTCGTGTATATAAAACGATATTTTCATTCTGATTTAAGTCTAAGTTAAGAATTCTTTTAAAAAAAATCCAGTTAATTAAGCCTTAACTTTACTAACAGATTTCGAAACATATATCTAGGATAAATACTGGATTTAAATGTGAATTTTGAATTTGTCGTTGAGAGTTTTCGTTGCCTTGATGTATCGATGTGTGACAAAAAAAAAACGTGCCAATGTTTTAAAATTGTTTAAAAGTTTATTTTTATAAGATGAAACATTGACACCGATAAATATAATTAAGACTGTTTAATTAAAACAGAGCATTTACTCAAATAAATTGTACTGATAAAAATGACGTATAAATCAGAAAATGACGATTGCGTCCAGCATGAAACAGCCTGTCGCCTCTGAGTGTTGACTTCAATGTTCACTTTTATATTTAGATTTACATACACTCTATCGCGTATATTGAGCACTTTATTCCACAAATATAGCACACCATAAAACTATATTCCTTCACACACACACACACACATATATATATATATATATATATATATATATATGTGTGTGTGTGTGTGTGTGTGTGTGTGTGTGTGTAAAAATATATAGAAAATAGAAAAGAACTCGTTAGGTAAATAATCCAAAGTTTTTTAGTATTTTAGTTATTATTTTTAAAAAATAGTGCTCGATACAAAAGTAGAGCATAAATATAATTATTTATTTAAAAATATGATTCCAACACGGTACATAAGAGTTCTCATATAAAAAATAAAAAATGAAAATTCGCTTGAAGATGGAACAGAGCTTGGTACTTTAACTCAATTTAATTCAAATAATTATATTGAAGTTTTCGGCTCTTGTTTTGAAACATCAGAACTCTTATGTAACGATGGAATCATATTTTTAAATAAATAATTATAAATATATATATATATATATATATATATATATATATATATATATACAGAGAGAGATATTAAAATCCTTAGATAGATAGATTTTAACGCGCATAGATATAGATATAGAGAGATATTATCGCCCATAGATAGGCAGACAGATAGATATTAACAGCCATAGATAGATAGGTAAGTGAGAAAAAGAGAGGCGATAAAATTATTGGTACTTGAGAGTCAGGTAATGGCCGACAAAACAATACTGAATGACAGATAAGTGGAAGTTTACATGGATCCACATATGGATGAAAGGTAGGAATGGGGAAGAGTTTGAAAAATGTCTTAAATGCAGACAGCAATCAAAAACTTCATCCCTCAGCATTATCACCCGCCTTCTTTTTCTTTACCATGATCCCCCCTCTCTCTCTCTCACTCACACACTCACTCACTCATTCACTAACTCTCTCACTCACTCACTCACTAACTCTCTCTCTCACTCACTCACTCATTCACTAAATCTCTCTCTCACTCACTCACTCACTCACTAACTCTCTCTCTCTCTCACTCACTGAGTCATTCACTAACTCTCTCTCTCACTCACTCACTCATTCACTAACTCTCTCTCTCTCACTCACTCACTC